CTGAATACTATTGAAATCAAATTGAATGTAAAACATTTATGTAACTAGTCTGCTTTATATGATTTTTCTTATCCTTGAAAGTTACTTGAATATTATAGAAAAAGTAGTCATTCAATATGTACAAATGGGGATGATTTAGAATAATTCGAAATCACGGATATCACAGGCTGCCAAGGTTAGATGAGAGCAAAACTTTCAATGGCTTAAGTAATTGATCATCAAAAAGATACAATCACTTTGCTCAAGAAAAACAAAATGTTTTGCGGGGGCCTAGAAATCAGATCCCTGCTGTACGTTTAAAGTAAAAGTACTCCACATCTCAAATCATTTTTTTCCATTTCATCCATATTATTTATGTACTTGAATTCGGATAATGCGTAGTTTTCAATCAATGAAAATCTATTGATTTTCAATCATTAATACCACTACTTGTGAATATGGGTGTGGGTGTGGGTGTGGGTGTGGTTGAGTTAAGAATACAGTCACATCCACACACTTCACACCCACACCCATTTTTTCGAATAGGTGCTGGTATGTCTTTTTAATCATTTACTAAAAGAACTAGAAGTAGGATTTTTCCTTTATTTATAATCTCTGAACACTTAGCTTGAAAATCAGCTATTTTCTTTTCTCGGGTTTTATTTTATTGTTGAGTTAATTAGACTTTATCGATGTCGTCGAAAATTCATATCAATGCGTTAAAACTGCTATCATTTATGGGTGCTTCTATCATCACCAGTTATCCTGATAACAAAATGATTTACAGATTTAGAATCAACATATGACACTACGTATAATCGAGTAGTTTTTAGAAAAACAAATCTTCAAAACACGACCCTGGGGTGGGATACAGGCAAATTTTTTGAAAAACTAATGATTCCACGTAGTTTCATACGCTGATTCTAAAATAAATGATAGCAGTTTTAACACATTTGTATCGATTTTCGACAACATCCAGAAAAGTTCAATTTTCTCAACGATAAAGCATGAACCTAGAAAAGTAAACAGCAGATTTTCAAGCTAAGAGTTCAGAGATTCTAAATAAAGCAAAATTCTTATTTCTAGATCTCTGACTTAATGATTAGATAGACATACCAGAAAGTACTCCAAAAACTTCTTCAAATTATTGATACATTGTACGCATTTTTTATCTTAGATAACTTTGTATTTAATCAAATGATCCTTTTATGGTCAAATTTTTGTGTTGATCACGAATCTGAAATCGTATTTTTGATTCAAACAATCATATAAAATATAGTCAATAAATCAAGGATCCGATTGAATACAGAAAAATATTCAATGTCAACATTTGTGGTGTAGAGTAACTATTTTCGCTCAACTTTTATCTGAATAAGCAATACTATAGAAGATGTAGAATTTCAAAGGCTTTCAGAAAACATGTAAACTAATTTGAGGTGACATGATCCGGCATGGTTATTGTCAAAATACTGATTGTCTGTGTATTGGTATTATCTACTGATATATGACGCTGGACAAATAAATCAATCACTAGGTTTTGTAGAGAAAAAATTTCTCTATCTTTTGAGATGCTTTTGAAGTCACACGAATGAGCAAACGTAGATGAAAGTATAAAATACTAATGACACCCTAAAAACTTCACTTTTTGACCAAATATAAATGGTGTATAACTTACAAACGCTGGCATTTTTCGCAGGCACATCAGGAAGATCTGATATTTTTTATTCACTTATGGTACTAGACCTTTCATTTAAAATGGTTAAATCGAAAAATCAACATTTCACCGGCGGTCGACTCCTAGTAAAGTTGCTAAGTGGCTCCGCGGACTCTCTTAAGTTTCATTTAGAAAAATGGTTCATCTCTATTTGAGAAAATTTTAGAATAGCTAGAAATATATTGAAATGGCGGGGGATGCCCGAATGATTTTTTCCCCCTTGGATATATTAGTCTGAATTAAAAAAGTTTGAATTGACATTTTCTTCTCCAGCATCTGAAAGTTCACTATTCACATTGTAGACAACTACAATCGACTATCTAACATTTGATTAACATATTAGTATGTCATAACTACTTTAGTACATCGATTTTGAATCAAATGTGTTGCATGTTGTAGAACTAAATAAAATATAGGAATTCCTTCAACGGAACGAAAGATAACTTGCCTCATGTAAGACAGAATGAATTTCAGCTGGAAAACATTGCCATGTGAGTAATTGCTAATAATTTCACTATCATTGTTTGTGCTAGAGCAGAAATTTTCTTTGTAATAACTTATAGCTCGTCGCCTAAAGTAAAACTAAGTTTATTAAATAATAAAAGTACAAGCACACATACTTTTGGTGTAATAAATTTGAACAATGCTTCCTAGAATTAAGAAATAAACAGATCAACTTAACATTTAAAAGATAAGAACTACATACTTTGACAAGCAGCTGGTCCTGAATGATATTTTGTTGGATCATCATAACAAGTGGAATTCATTGGAATAAACTAAAATATGTTTATAGTCAGTTATTCGTTTGATTTAAGGAATGAATATGTGAAATAAATAAATATTTGCCCATAGGAGAAATAAATAAGTTCTTATCAAGCACGCATACGTGATGAACAGTACAAACACCTCCATTGTAAGGTGCTGTTTTAAACAAAAACAATTAAATACATACACGACGATGGTCCAAAAATAGCCGAGCAGTCTTTGATTGCAAAAAGCTTTTGATAGGAAGAAGGTAGAAACCTGCGTTTTTCATCGTTTAAAAGAAAAGACACAGCTGCATCGAATTTTGAGTACCGGATTTTTATAATAAAATTTTTCATGACTTCTGGACAAACTGTGTTAAAAAAAATAGTCGACTTTTCGCCAAGAGCGCTTAATAAAATGTTAAAAACTAATGATTTGCTACATCATTTTGGCATCGAACCTACACAAACATGATATTTTTCTAGCACAAGAGAAGTTTACCCACTGAATATCAATGAGAATGACTTAGAAATATTATAATTCAATGACAGTGACATACATTTTTCACTAGAAAATACCGAAAATTCTATATTGAATATCGTTGTTTGAATGATAAACGATTTTGATTATGAAAATAAATAAATGAGCATATATTTATGAGCCAATGAAAAGTATTTCAACTTAGCAAGCTTATTCTTAACAAGAAAGTGATGAAATAAATATTCCATGTATTTATATTATCAGCGACAAAAACATAATAAATTTCAACAACGAATTTATTTATTCGAATTGAAATATCATCGTAATACTAATTTTCCCTTTACTCTGTATACAATGACTCTATGATAAATAATTTTCATAAAAATTCTAATATTTATCAAGATTTATGAAAATGTTTCATTCAAAGGAATTGATATTAGCATCATTAAGTTGTAATCTAGTTATCATGAGAAGTCCCACACCCACCCACACCCTGTTTTCTTGCATGATACATTCACAAATTTGATTCATAAAAGTCTCATGAAATTTTCAACCAATGAAACTAGTCCCTGTGATTTGTATTTTTATTTCAAAAAACTTTGCTTAAGTGTCGACATAGTACTTCTATCATCCTATTGTTCACAGGTATTAGCCAGTGGTATATTGTATTATTTATTTTAACAGGATATCCTAATATATATGTTGCAAGATACAAAAATACATGACTAATTTTAACAGATTTGTACGACAAAAAAAATAGATCTGACATAATAGCTATTACTAATCTTCTTTGTTGTCGTCGACGCTATCATTATTTGTTTTATTTGCTTTTTCTGGTAATACTAATGTATACAATTCCCAATCTTGAATTTCACTCTAAAAGTAAATAATTAGTAGTTATTTCTATTATTATCATATTTATTGTAAAATTCTTTTACTTTTTCAATCGATTTATTAATCCATTTGTAATTTACACAAGGAGTATTAAATTTTTTTGCATCGATAAATTTCGCTGTTTTACGTGCCACATCAGATATTAAATAAACATTATCACGTCGATTCTAATAATAATAATAAAAACATTTGGACACCATGAATCAAGGAGGGAAAAGCGGATCCCAATGGAACCTGATGAATGTTTCTAAGTATTTCTGAGACTATATTGACTTCAGAATTCGATGATTTCTGTTATTGATTTGGTCAATTTTTTATCTTCTTTACAAGAAAGATTCATATGAATTAAAAGTATCATTTATATAGGATCCTGTACTCGTATACCGTAATAGAACAAAATTTTTATCGAAAATTAAACAAAAACTGAAAAAAATCATTATTGGTAATCTATGACTCAAACTGGTCTTCACTGATTGTATTTTTTTGTTTCATCTGCAATTCAATATCTGATCATAGTCCGATTTCACTTAGATTTTGTAAAAACGAACGGGTCACTGTTTGACTCGAAAATCTTTAATAAAACAAAAAATAAACAATCACATCGCAGCTTAATCATGTTGACAACAAAGAGGAAAAACTTTCGTTAAAACTTCCATTACTCCTAAGATATATGTTAAATTGGAATCCTTCCTGGTAAAGGATGCAATAGAAGATTACTGTATAATTCATAATGTTCCCCACAAAAAATTCTACAGAAGAAATAATTTTATCTATTTTACTGAGCTTTCACTAAATTGTAGAGAACTCCTAAAATATTTTGAAAAGTACTCATGTGCATGGATAGTTTTGATTTATAAATTTTTACTCTTAAAAACATAATCTATACCAATGGATCCTGGGATCCGCTTTTCCCCCCTTCCCATGAATATCTAACACATACAGCACTTGGCATTTTTTCAATCACTTTTCCACCATGACTTTCAATTGAATCTTGAACTTCATGTCGAATATCAATTGAATCTAAAAAGAAAAGATTTTACAAGAAAAACGAAAAAGAGATACTCTACCATTGAAACCCGTAAGAAGAAAATACATTGTATTAAATAATTTTGCTGGTCGTGATGGAGTGTAGGCTAAAATTGATTTCGAAAAAAAAATGATGAAAACGTCAACTCTATATAAACACTTACTCGATCGTTGACTTCTATTGGGTGATGCAAAAATTGAACTTTTTGTTTTTTTATTGGGTGATTGAGGTACCGTTGACATTCGTTTACGTTTTCCTTGAACAACACTTTCTGTATTGTTGCCAATTGCTGATATATGTTCCGCTTGTTCATGAGTTAATGAAACGAAACGTAGTGGATACCATTTTTGTTTTCCATCTTTTTCAACAATATACCCTAATTTTCCAGTTTTCTTCTTTTTAATGATATTTTTCACAATGCCACGTTCAAAATATCCATCTTGCGTTTGTGCTAAGACATTTTGATTCACTTCTAAATAACTTTGAGATATAATATCATTTCCTTTAACATAACGTTTGGCACCATCATCAAATTCAATCATATATCTGTCGAAGAGAACAAAATTACTAAAAACAATGTTTCTTTTTTTTAAATTTTTGTAAATTACTTTTCACCACTAACGTTTCCGATTACACCAGGATAAAAATGGCCATCAACCCATTTAGCAAAAATTCGTGAACCTTTTGTTAATGATTGTCCAGTAGAAGTTTTTGTTGTTGGTATAAATTCATCACCACTAACATCATCAGTTGGCATTTCATCGTCATCTTCTTCATCATCAGTAGAATCTTCATCATCGTCTGGAACCGGTTTTGATATCTTAGGAGAAGTAACAGTTGAAGTTGGTTTTCTAAACAACGATGATCACTCTGTAGTAACCGGAATGCTTGGTAGAAACTAATTATTATGCTTACAAAGTTTTTGTCTTTTGTTTTGGTGTATCTGGTTTAGTTGATTTTTTTCGAATTGTTTTACTAATTGAACGACGATTCTTGTTTTCTTCTTGTGGCCATGGTTCTATACGAGTAGTTGTATTTTCTTCAACAGTACGCTATTCAACATGTACAAGAATAACAATTTCCATCGTTCACGAAAGAAAAACAAATCTCTTACTTCAGTAAGAAGTTCACGTGACATAGTTCGTCCATGTTGATCAATTTTAATAGCATAACGACGTACTATTTTTGATATGGATTCTTTTATAAATAATTCTTCTTCTTCACGCTAAATTTTTTTTACATCGTAAAAAAGAATCGACATCGAATTTCTTACCGTTGTGATATTTGCTTCATTATCATTTCCATGTGCTACTTGCGTTACTTTTCGTCCCGGTGAAGTAGCTAGTTTGGCGAGAATACTTTCGAACTTATTTGTTGCCGGTTGACTTAATGAATACAGTGTTTTTGAAGTAGGTGATATCTAAAATGTTAGTCTTGAACATATGGATGATAACGATAAATTCTATACGTACAGCAGCTTTTATTGGACCCGGTGCTTGACTGGTAAGTGCCGAAGTAGGATGAGAATCTATTATACCATCACTACCTAATGAAGCTTGTGCATCACTTGTATCCATAGGTTCATTTTTTGGCTTATCGTTTAATTCTATAAGTGGCACAACATCATTGGCATTTTTTTCTTCAATATCGACTCCCGAAATATTCGCAGGATTCGGTCTACAATTGAATAATTACTAAATAAACGAGATAAAGAAAATAATCTCGTACTGCACATCGTCATTCGTTGTTTCAAGAAGACTCGTTGATGGTGAAATATAAAGATGTAGATCTGAAGCAAATAGTTTAATAAAGTTTTCTTTAAGAAATATATAATTCTTACTATTTACTACAGTTGATGTATCAAGTACAGATACATTTGCATCCTTAATGAAACAAAGATGAATTCGTTTTTTTTTTCTTTCATGAATACTAACTGATTTTGCCGTTGGTGTTGATTTCTAATCATATAAATCTATAATTTAGTATTATCAAAAAGCAAAATGAATAAATACCTCTTCGTTGATCTGTGATGTATCACCTCTACTTTCATCAGTTAATGTTTGTCGAATCATAAATAGCTAAATTTCATTAAATAAAACAAGTCCATAAAATACGGATGTTTATATGTATCTTACATTATTCTGTGTATCAACTGCAGAGGCCGGTCGTTGAGCATCTGTTTGCATGCCATCGATTTCTTCATCGTTCACCTGAAATAAATTATTTATGACTTATCAACAGATATTCATTTTCGCTCAATCCAACCTGCACAATTGGTTTTTTATTTTCTTTTGCTTGATCTAAACATAAAACATTCCGATAACCTTTCACAGGTGTATTTTTATCAATACGATTTGTCGATTGTTTAGTTCGATCTGAATGTTCACTACAAAAAAACTCAACAATAAATAAACAACAACGAACAACGAAATCAATACGTGAGTGTTTCTTGAGTTTCAAAATTAAGCGAAATAACATCATCGCTTCCAGCAATATCATTATACTGTGACATCTGAAAGATGACAAAATTCATTCTAGTTTTATTGTTTATAATAGCCCAAAAGAAAAGAAAGAATATCGATGAGTATTAATATACAAAAAGGGAAACATCAAGTGAAGTTTTATAGAAAATATTTTAAGATTGTGCCGTACCTAAAATGGAAACAAATTGTCCAATTTTAATAAAACAAGAAAATAAAATACAGACTTTTGCCATCGCATGCTACAATTTTAACTTTATCGGCGCGAGGTACTTGCGTTGAAGGAACTGCTGTATTGTGTTGACCTGGATTATTGTCTTTCACTTGAAAATCTTTCAATACAAGTGTCCAAACATTGTCACAAAAGCGATAGGTACTTAGTTTTCCCTGTAAGAAAAAAACAACAACCAATGATAAATTTATTGAAATCTCAGTTTGTTTTTCTTCTACCGTAAATTGAACTTTTTTATTAATTCTTTTGTCGAGTGCTAAATTAATTGATCGATCGAATTCACTTAAAACTTTACCAGCTGCATGATCAGTCAATGCGCCTTGCTACATAAAAAAAGAATGAACACGCATGGACAAAAAAATAAATAGATATTAACCGAAATCATTTCTTCTAGAGTTTCTTGTAATGTAGCACCTAATGTTGTATTACGATAAAGTTGATAGTTGGCCATTCTGAAAGAAAGATGATGCTGCTATCAACAATTATGGCAAATAGAAACAATCGTGTACGCCTATTATTATTACAGTGTGATTGTGTAAGAACAGTTACAAACGTTTTCGACACAATTTTATTGATTCGTCACAAAATTCAACCACATCAATAATTTTCAATAAGTGTCGCCACATAACTGTGGTTTTAAGAGCTATACAGGTTCGAGTAAAGTTACCATTTATCTATACGATAATGAACCATTGTGAATTACGTTTGTATAGTAAAAGCAGTACTATGCGCATCATGGTAGAATTATTGCCGTTATTACTACGGCATACATTTCTATACATAGTTGTTCGTGTTGTTTGGAATACCACCATTTCCGAGATATTTAAATAAATATATCTTTTTCAAATCGAATCGAAATATAAATTTTTGATTTCAAAACATGACGATTGATTATATGTTTTTGCGTTCACTTAACAACACTAATCATAATAATAACAATCGTAAACATAATAAAAAAGTGTTGTTCTCAATTTCTTCTTTTTTTTGCTTTTTTTTTTCATCATTATGATTCTTTTCTCGTTCTCTTTTTCATACATACGCACATACATGAATATATATATATATATATATATATATACATATTGTAATCGGAATAAGGAGGCTATAGAAGCAGCCGCAGCAGTCGAAACAAAGAAATATACGTACACACTCACACACATATAAAAAAAAGTCCCACAGAAAAGAAGCAGTCAGCCCGTATTGGTTTTTTTTGAAAAAGAAAAAAACGAAAGCGAGAAAGAACAGCCATCGCATTGTATGCGCTAAGCGCTATGTACAAGAAGAGGGACGACACAATATAGTAGTAAACGGACGAAAAACCTGCTGTTGCTGCTGTTTGGACACAATACAAGAAAGTAGACTCGAATCATGCAGTGAGAGAGAAGAAAAGGCGAAAAAGATAGACAGATAGAAAAAAGAAAAAGCAAGAACAAGCAAAATGTCGTCGACGATTCTTGGTGACGCTTGGCCTCATCATCCTTGAAACGACGTATGTATTCAATGCATTCTTTTTTTACTTTCATTTGTCTATTACAAAATGGAGTAAAGAAGGGAAAAATTGATAATATGTAAAGAAAAAAAGCGCGTACTCGTAAGAGGAAGCACACACACACATACATACTCGAAAGTATAAAAAAGTTTATCCACGCGCTGTGCTGGCTTTTTGTATTTCTTTCTCTCTTGTACGAATCGATGCAGCAGGTAAGAATCGACATAAGAAGACAGAGTAAGGGAGAGAGAGAGAGAGAGCACAACAACAATGAAGAAGAAAAAAAATACATTGACGACAACGTCGTTTGATGATGTGTGCGATTGTAGATAAAGATTCTCTTACTGTGTATGTGTATGTAAAAGTGTGCGAAATAAAGACAGAACTAAGTCATCTTTCGTAACAAGAAAGTAGTAGTAACATGTAAGTATACATAGAGGTGGCTGATAGTGTATGCAAAACGAGTAGCTTGCTGAATAAATAGACAGAGAGAAAAAAAAATGACGAAGCAACATAGCATTTTTGTTATGCATAGTCTTTCTCATCACCTTGATATAACACAATTGGACATTATTTATCTTTAGTAAGTAGTTTCTTATAAGAGTAAATGTTCATTGTAGAAAACCCAAGTTAAATTCTTTTCTCCAACAACTTTAACTTTCATATCAAGTCAAGCGAAAATTGGTTTGATGAAGCTTTTATTCTCTCATCAGTATTGAATCAGTCAGTCTGAGCTAGATTTTTCCTTTTTTCCGCTACTTTTTTTTTCTTTTTTTTCCTCTGCATTGTACGCACAAACATAACTCCGTTTTTCCCCTCTGTGCAATACATCATTTCCGTGATGGTGTTGTGCGTGCGTGTGCGTGTATTTGCCTTTTTTTCTTGCTTGTGCGTCTTGCTTGTTGTCATCTCTATATGTGCGTTTCTCATGTTGAACGTTTCTTGTTTTGTTCTGAATCAAAGAAGAATATTCATTAGGATTCCCGTTTCTTTTTTTCTTTTGAACACATACGTGCAGTGTATTGAGCATAGGAAAAGATGTTCAAAGAAGAAGAAAAAAAACCCGGCATTCATATAACTATAGATTATACAACTAAACTACTTCTTTTTATTCTTTCTTTTTTTCTTAACACTCACTCCTATGTGTGTGAGCTAGACAAAATCAAGTGAAGAAGAGAGAGTGAGAACCTTGGAAATATGCACATAGAAGTATTATACACGCCATTGTGAACATGATAGTTAGAATAAGATAAAAAGAAAGAAAGAAAATGAATAGAAGAACGAAGAGGAGGAGTTTTTGTAGAAGAAAAAGAAGAAGCAAAAAAAAGAAGAACATTACGATTGTGCTGTTCAATCCTGACCGTGGCACCAACAAACATTTCTTGCCGTCCTTCACAGACTTGCCTGTCTTTTTTCCTTCTCTGTTTTATATAGGAAAAGAGTATATGTGTGTGTGCGAGAGAAAAACCGAAAAGAAAAAAGAAGAACTGTCTTGAACATCATCATCATCATCATCATCATCATCATCATCATCATCATGAGAATCAACGAAAGAGAAATGAACGAGTCAACAGCATATTCTTTTTCTCGCCCTCTCTCTCTCTTCTTCTGCTGATAATTGCAGCACGCATAAAATATATGTTCATACCCGAACAAAAGTAGGTTCGACGAGAAATTTTCCTCTTTCAGCACAACCTCCCCCCGCCCTTATTCATCCAATGAAAACCTTCTATTGTTAGCTATCTCTATACGTATTTTTTATCGCATACTTTTCCTGAAGGACTAGAGAGAATTGTGTGAATGCGTGCATGCAAGTAAGCAGTGGAGACTACCACTACGACTCTTGTCACTATCGTCACTGCACAAGTTTTGAGAAAAAAAAAGTTTTCTCTAATAGTAAGATAGAAAGAACGAGAGAAAAAACCAGTACGACATTTTGCTTTTTTCTATGTGCCTATATCTTATTTCGCTCTGTATATATATATATATATATATATATATATGTGTGTGTGTGTGTGTGTGTGCGTGAATGTGCAATCGAAGTTTGTCGTCAGCGGAAAAGAGAAAAAAAAGAAGTTACCTGAGGAAAGCCATACACAACAAAAAAGAAAAGATCTTTATCAACTAACTCCTTTTTTTCTCTTCTTCTTTCTCGTACATATTCATGGTGAGGTGTTTATTTAATTGAATTATTACATATAAATAGTAGTGAATAGTTCACATTTGTAGCATTCTAGTTTTTGTTTTGTTTTTAGAAATGGCCACTGGCACGGGTATAAAAGATCGTTGTCGTCTTTGTTACACGCGTCTAAAAGATATATCATCTTCGCATCGTAAATTATGGTGTTCACAACATAATCATCGTCTATATAATATCTATAAACGACGTCCTTATCGTTATCGGGATCTTATTGTTCGTTATTTATCTATTCGTTTACCTGAAAATGAGAACAGTATTAATGAAAATAATTCCATCGATCACTATTCCCATGTTGTTTGTGGTACATGTGCTGCATCTCTTAATAAACTCGATGCAGCATTTCGAACATTTCAACAAACACAAAACAATCTTCGCTTAAAATTCCGTAAAACAACCCATATTATTCATTATCAATTAGAAAAGCAAATACAAAAGTCGATGAAAGAAAATCAACAAGAACAATTAGTCGAAACAAAACAACAAATACAAGAAGAAAAAAATCCTATACCAAAGCGACAATCAAAACGTAAAGGTGCACCAAAACATATTGATCAAACAGTCAATAATCATTTGAATGCAAAGAAAACAACTGGTGGCGGTGGTGGTGTACAATTAATTGTTAAAATGCCTTCACTCGATCGTAAGAATCATGATGATGATGATGATGATGATGGTGGTGATGGTGATGGTGATGAACAGCAACAAGAAACTAAAATTTCAACAAAACGAACAAGTCCTCGGCGAAAACCATTTCAAACCAATGGCTCTGAAAAAACAAACCCAAAGAAAAAATTCAAACGTGTAAACAATAATTTAGACACATCAACCAATGTATCATTTAAATCTATTAATCTTCTTAAGCCGAAGATGCTTACCGATTTACCAATTAATGATAAAACTACTACTCCACTTCATTTAACAACCATATCCGGTTCAACTTCTACGAACAGTCGATCATTCAACTCGGTGAAAGGCAATCATATTGAACGTATAGCTGTGTCTTTATTATCTGTATGTAATCAAACGATAGAGTAAGCCTGTTAGAAATGTTTCTTTCTTTTTTCTTTTTTTGACAACTAGGGAACGGATGCACTTACTGATGTCGCCAATAATAGTTTAAATCATTCCAACGGTACTAATGATTACAGTTCTAATCATAGTAAGTTTTGAATTTTCTCTTATTGATTTTAATGAATTTCTTTCATTTATCATAATAAATATAGAATGAGGTAAGAACGCATGAGTTCTGAATAATAATGCCTATACACCACAGCATGTTTTGCTGTGTAAAACAAAACAACCTATTTTAGATTTTTATTTTAAATAAATTGTTTTTTATTTACATATTTTATTAAGATTCCAAAAAGACACTTGTGGGTCGTCCTACGAAACCATCAACATTAGACGTAACGACAACAAATAATATTCTTTCGTCAACAATTCCATCTCCTTCAATGGATGAAGATGACCTATCAATTGACGATGCAAGTAACGATAGTTCAAATACGAATTCAAGTTTAAACCGAAAAATCAATCATACACCTATTTCAAATCTTAATAAAAATCTGTCATCACCATCAACAATATCAGCAACAACAACAGCCGATGGTTTAACAATAACGGCAATTAATCAAACCGGTCAAAAACAAGTATTCATGGCCAAACAATTAGGGAATATGAAAAAATATCAATGCAGTTTGTGTGAAAAAATTGTTACAAATATTCAAATTCATGTTCGACGTCATACAAATGATAAACCATATCCATGGTAAAAAACAAAAGTACAATATTAAATATTTACATATTGTTTTTCAATTGATTTAGTACTTATTGTGAGAAGCGATTTACTAATTCGGGTGATCTTCAAATTCATGTTCGCATTCATACAGTAAGTTAAACATAGCATAAAGAAACATTGATTAGGTTGCTCTTTTTCTCTTATTTTGACATTTCCTAATACTTCAGTAGATTGATTACTTAAAATTACACACATGATGACTACTAGTTTTCAGATATTTCTGTAGAGTATATTTAATTTAGGGTGAAAAACCATACGCATGTCCATTGTGTTTAAAAAGTTATCGAACGATAGGTAATTTTAATAGTCATGTTAAAACACATGATTCTGGTGTACGACCACATCGTTGTGAGTTGTGCAATCAAACATTTACTATACCGAAAGATTGGTATTCTCATTTACGTTCAAGTCATCGTTCACGAACAGCAAATACTACTTCTATACCATCATCGTCGATATTAAATTCAACAAATACAACGACAACAGCAACAAAACCATTATTTTCCAATTGTTTAACAAGTCAACAACAACATAATGAAGTATTTATTCCAAATAAAGTTAAATTAGAACCAATAAATCGTTCTCAATTAATAATAAAATCTGCAAATGAAAAGACTTCATCGAATGATGATAATTTAGAACCTGTTAATATGTCAAAAAAAGAAGATTTAAATGACTTCGACGACGACGATGATGAAGAACAGGATGATGACGATGATGAACCAGAAGAAAATCATCATCAATCGACACATAATTTACTTGCGAGTGTATCATCACCTGTTCATGCTTAACACTAGTCATTAAATTATTCGAACAGTATTAATAAGTGAATAGGAGAAAAAAAATCAATGATCATGATGAACAGCCAAAGCAAGTCTTTCTCTTGTGATTGATGTTTTCGTTTCTTTTCTGTCGTGATTTATTGTAGCGCAATATCTTTGTGTTTCATTATTAATATTGTTGTTGTTGTTGTTTGTTTAGTGAGAATGACGCAATCGTAAATATATATATTTTTTGTTTTCTTCTTCGCCTAGGTGAATCCAAGAATGAGCTGTATTTTAATATTTGTTATTATTCGAGAATATGTATATGTATATATATATATATATAAAAAAAACAGTTTCTCTTTCTTTTTCTTTTTAATTGTCGTCTCTTCTGGTCAATTGTTCTCTTTTATTTCTTCTTCATTATCGTGAATGATTTTATGTTTTTATGTTGGGGCGTTGTATTTTTTTTTATAATGTACGCGTAATTAATATTCTTCCTAGTCGATGCGTACCAGTGTTAAAAGAAGAGAAAATTCTTTCTTTTTGTGTTTTTTTTTCGGAGTTATCTATGTTCGCATTTTGTCTCCTTTTTCTTGTGTGTGTGTGTGTGTGTGTGAAAGATAGTGGATTGGAGAATACCTTATATGTATGTTTGTTATATTTCTTTGCTGTTGCGTTTATCAGAGAAGACGATGGTATAAATAAATATGAAGACGTATATGAAATCTCCAAGGATTTCTTTTTAAATTGCTCGAATGAATTCTATCTAAGAACATCTATTTACCTTCAAATAAAGCATGAATCTGTAAATATATCAATGAGAAAATGAAGGTCAATTGACATGCGAAACTTATGTAGCCGAGATGTGATTTTTTTCAAGGTATCATCTTTTGAATTCTATCCAGTTAAGTTCTCATTGAAACTTTACAGAAGAAAAGAATTATTGTTGTTGTTGTTGTTGTTGTTGTTTTTTGTTAATTAATTCCTGTTTTTTTTAATAAAATGTTTTTCAAATACATAAAAATCGTTACAAATAGGTTGGATCTTTGCACCTAAGTCTGTACTCATTCTCAAAAATGATCTACATTCTATAATTCTCGTGAACAACAAGATAGGGAAGATATAGATATCACATGTATTGCATTAGATAAGAGATTCAAAGTCATCATGATGGTGTTTCCATTAAACTTCCTCGTTCATTATCATTATTTGGTACTTCGTATGCTGCTTTTCGAGGCAGTGCAGATGGATAAGATGAATTATTATGCATACTACGTGATGATCCATTGGGAAAAGCTATGGAACGATCATTATTTGTATGTTCGGCTAGATACGTTTTTCGAAAGTCATCATATAATTTATCAATGACCTCGCCTACAATAATATCTTGTCCATTACGCGCTAAAAGTCGAAGTGCAAAACATCCATCTTCATGTAAATAATCACGAACAAAAGATCTAATCATTCGCTTTTCCTCTACGTTCGATAGTTCTGGACCAGAGGATTCACCATTCGATTTAGATTTATTTGCACCACGCATAGCTAATTTTCGTCGTACATAAGCCGAACGACCATCAACACGTACGATACGTAAAATCCAAGATATAAAATCGCCTATATTAAATGCAGCTAATAGTAATATCCAAAACCAAAGTATAAGAAAAATTTTTTCATTAAATAAATTTATCGGTAAAACACATTGAACTGTATATCGATGAACGATGCCGACTTCGCGTATATGAAAATCACATAATGTAACACGTGGAAACCGTTTCGATTCGCCCCAATCAAGACCACGAAGAAATTTAACAATAACTTCAAAACCAAATAAATGATATTCATTACCCAAAAAAGCGTTCAAAAGAAATATTTGTAATAAGGAATTCGTAAGAAAAAGGAATTTAACAAATGTAAATAATAGAACAATGTATGCACTCAAATGGCGATGACGCCAAAATATGAAGTGATACCACAATTTTTTCGGATAATGTCGTTGATTATATCCATTTTGGTTTGTAGCCTCGTAACGATTATCAATATACACACGTATCGAACTAACGATATAGTCGACTGTTTTCGTTCTTTCTTCAGCTGGATTATCGTTTTGTTCTTGTTTCATTGCTGCATCAACTAATTTTTCTATGTCTAAACCTGATTTATTGTTTAATGATCTCCACAGCATACGTGGAAAATAGAAACATAGTGCCATAAACAAAAGAATAAATGGTGACCATTGATAATATTTGAGCATACCTAAATACATACCAAGATACTTTTGATTAGACAAGAACAAACAAATCAATCTCACGTTCATATCGAGTTGTTTCAGAATGTGGTATATCATGTTCTAACGGAACATAGTATGTATTCATTATCCAACATATATCATTGGCATACTTTTCATAACCACCCGTAAATTGAGCAGGTACCTAAATCGCTCAACGAAAAAAAACATAAATACGAAAGACAATTAGACATCTAATCACTTACCCAACATGTTATAGGTGAACCAAAGTATTGCTGAGTTGTAACAACAGCGGCAAATACTATAATCATCGTTACTGTATATCTGTGATTGAGGCGGTCAATGAATACATCATCGTTACGTGCCGAATGATGTTTGCCAGCACTTAATTTCTTTGCAAAGTCCAATATATCCATTATGATATATTCTTTAAATTATTTATGAAATCCAAAATAGAAAAAAAAGAACAAATACCGGAGTCTACAGTTTATTATCAATGAATCGATTTATTGCTCTTGTAATCTTACTAATCAAGGACTAGTAACACAAGTATATCCCGTTTGTTTCTCGTCATAAAGACGAGTCAATGTTCTAGAGTGAAACGTGTATGAAATGCGCCTATAACTCGTTCTTTCCTTTTTTCTTCGTCTTCATCGTCTTGAACTGTATACTTACGATCATCTTTGCTTTTCTTTTGCCTGAAATACATAGAATGAAAGATGATCACATCTGCAAACACATTTTTGTTATAATGATTGCATCACATTCACTTATACTTTTGTCTCTTACCTGCATCTTCAATTTACATGTTTATCTTGGAATTTAACACAAAACACTAATATAGAACAAGACTATGCCTTTATCATAAGTTCAACCCTCATATTTCACAGCTAATACGCAGGTATTTTGTGTGACTTGTCTATTAGACATTATTTTTAAATTTCAAAGTCGGATGTCTATTTCGGAGCACTGACTTCGAAAGATATAAACACATCTATATTCGTTTATCACGCACACACACGCGTACACATACCTTCGTAAAAAAATGATGTAACACATAAAAATAAATGTTAAAATAGTACTAGCGGTTCGTTTCTTTCTTTTTTTGTTCAAAAGATAATATAGAGCAAATGGTTTTTATGATTTGTACATGATGAGTGGAATATATAAAATACAAAGCATTAAATAATTCAAAACCACAACTAGATGGACGCATGTCGTATAAGCACTCATAAAGCAAATAGATAAATTTCGAAAAAGAAAAAAACGAAACAGATCGAGCAGGAGAAGAGAAAAAGTAAAGAAAGAGAGCAAACAGATTGATAGTATAACGACGAAATCTTTGCTTTCTTCTATGTGGTTTTTTTGTGTCATCGATCGATGCAACGGGACAACCTTTCTTTTGTTGCATTAATATTCGAAAGATAAAATTGAAAGACAGAATAAATTGACGATGACAGGAATGCGCACACACACAAGCAACCAAGCGCATAATTCATTTTTATAGGCCCCTTTACATCGATGCCATTCGATGAGGACGTGAAGATTATATTTCATTTTTACTTTATTTACATATGATAAAGAAATAACCTCCTTCATCGCCATTTTGTTTTAAAATCCAATGAGATATGACGACAAGAACTCAACGTATTCGTTTTTTTTATCGATTTTGGCCTTGTTAAAATAGTAAAAAGAAAAAACTTAAAACGACTCACCATAAAATTGATTCGTATCATGAGATTACTTAGCGTTATCTTTTAAAATATAGTCGATATATCAAGTCAAATAATTGAAACATTCACGGGGAATATCAACATATGCGAGTAAAGAAGGTCGATATTTGTTCTATTCTTATTTAAATACATTACCGAGGTCTGATGTCGACTAATATGTGTTAATCTTATTTTTATTGAAAGATAAATGTTAACCTCTTTTTTTTTGCTTCAAATCATCTTGAATATTTGATTTATACAATCACTGTCGTGCCCGCGATTTAATTATAGCGATTCGTGTCAATTTAAATAGAGATAAGTTGTATACTTTAAAAACCCTCTAGCTTATCTATTTGTTGATAAATTTATTTGATATTATTCTCGCATCTCGTCTTTTGATAAAGGATTGTATTGGCTTGCAAATTTAGATTGTTTGTATTTTTTAATGTGTCTTTTTCTTCTTTTCAAATGGCTAGTTTGCATATTAAACTAGACGTTTAATTACCATTTAAAAACAAAAAGAGGAGAAATTTTAACATGAGAAATAAAAAGCAATCAGTTGAAGTATTATTCAAGAATGTTAAACTCGTCAAAATAATTGTTCTAATGTCCATTAGACATCAATGTTCTGAAGAGCGTGTCTTCATGATATATTTTTTTTAAACTTTAAATGACTTGCTCTAGGTTTGTAATATAAAACTAGAGAAACTTTCTTCTTTGTCAATATCATTTTTGTTTTCGACGAAACATTAATGTTCAAATATCTATATCTGCCGTCATCGACAAACAAATGAATCGGCAAACAATGGAGCAAGAAAAGAACATTTATATAATTTTTTCTTCTCGATTTTTCATCATGATACATATTTTTCAAAAAAAAAATATACACAAAGGAATTGTCAAAATTGCATTTTTTTCACATTCATTTTCTATTGACGTCAATACAGGGTCATGTCGGATATAATTTTATTGAACACAGGCAGTCTTCAAGCTTTGAGAGCAAAAAAATAATAATTTCTCTTTTCTCTATATATTCTCTTGATGGAGCATTTCTCTCTCTCTCTCTCTCTCTCTCTCTCTCTATCTGTGTGTGTGTTATTAAGATACACCCGAAGGTGAGAAAGTATTTAATGAAAAATAGAGACGAGGAGGTAGAGAAAATAGAAAACAAAAAGAAAACCAATTTGGTAGCATACAAAAAAATACGACATTTCTCAAAGGAGACAAGGTGTGTTAACATAAAAAAGAAAAAGTCGTGAGAAATCTAATTTCAAATATTACATTTGCAGGTGTTATAGAGTAAGTGCATCAATATGCGAAGTAAAAACGATACAAGCCCGACTTCGTACGCCAATCAGGCTTTTGAAGATGAACCAACTGGAGGAAAATTGAGCAGTGATCCGAGTCCGATGGGCTCAGACATTTTTATTGTCAAGCCGAATAAAGGAAATAGGAACCGTTTACATACAGAACCATTTCAACTTGAACCTGTTACACGACGAAACATTGGCCGAAGTATTCTTCGTGGTGTTCGATGTAAATATTTGACTTCAGATATTTTTCTTGTTTTTTTAATATGCACTTCTATGCAATTTAGCACTTTGGGCTACACGTCAAACAGAAAAAGATCTTGGAAAAAACAAAGATTTATACGTTAAAACAACATTACGCGAACTTTTTATCTATTTGGTGTTTATCATTCTTCTATGCATAAGTAAGTAGGAAAAAAAAAACTCTTTTTTACTTTGTTTTCTTTTATCAACATTTTATTTTTCATGCTAAAATTAAAGAAAAAAACTATTCGACATTTAATTTTCTCTGATTAAATGAAAAACAAGTTTTATTTTATATTGTCACGTCGTTGACATCATCAATTTTGATATAAAACCTGGCAAATTCTCACGTTTCAGAATGTGTCAATTTTCTCTAAATCATATTTTACTGGCAAACTAAAGAGTAAAATAGTATTCACTATGAATTTTGGATAACAAAATGAAGATGAAATCTCTAATATGCACCAGACAAACAACGACATTGTAACGGAATAGATCGTAGAAATGTAATAGATGAGTAGTATTAAGCCGTGAGTGCTAGTTCTTGTTTTTCAACGATTCCTACGCCATTCAAATCTACATGGCGTACAATAGTCCCAAATGAAAAGTGATTGATAAAGTTTGGAAATTTTCTTCGACAGGTCATGATGTACAAGTTCGAAGTTTCGAGCTAGGAAATACAATGCATTGCGGTGTTTCTTATTTTAAATATATATTTCTTTCGATTTAAAGTTACATTCGGCATGACATCAACGAAAACGTTTTATTTTACTACGGCTTTACGTACAATTTTTACTACACAACAAGCCTCGGGTGCTGGTAATCAACCAGCATTTGATGATATCGCAACCTTTGAGGATTTCTGGACGGTGAGAAAAATTTCTCGAATCTATCTCTAAGCTAGTACAGAATTTTTAGGTTATGTTGGATCCTATTTTTAAGGGATTATATACTGAAAAATGGTACAATGGCTACAATTTGACGCAAGACCAATATGGTTATGTTTTGTTTGAAAATAAAATTCTCGGATTACCTCGGCTTCGGCAACTTCGTGTAAACTACTTTTATTTCCTATGCAGCAATGTCTATTGATTGCTTCTTATTTTAGGTAACCAATCATTCTTGTACTGTTGATAAAAAATTTCAGACAACAATTGAAGAATGTTATGCATCATACAGTAGTAGTAAAGAAGATCGCAGTAGCTATGGAACACCAGCTACAAATTTAACAAAAGATGCGTAAGATAAATTTTATTTGTTCTTGTTTCACATTCTTAAAAACATTTCTTTTCTTCAGCTGGTATTATCAAACGGCAAGCCAACTTCATGGTTCATCAACAAATGGTTTAATATCTCGATATGGTGGCGGAGGTTTTGTCCATGACTTGTCATTAACTCGCGACGAAGCTCTAGAAGAACTGCAAAATCTTTATAATAACTTATGGCTTGATCGTGGTACACGTGTTGTTTTTCTTGATTTTACAGTTTACAATGCAAATATAAATTTATTTTGTCAAATTGAATTAATTGTCGAATTCCCAGCATCAGGTGGAGCTGTTGCATCGAAATCATTTTCAACAGTTAAATTAATTCGAGTAAGAATTATTTACCAAACAAAAAGAACAAGGGAAAATTTTTTATGATTTTTTTCAGTATGTTTCATCAATGGATTACTTTGTATTGGCATGTGAAATTCTGTTTATTATTTTTACAGTTTATTATACAGTTGAAGAAGTTCTTGAAGTATGTTGAACACGTTGAATTTTGTTGTTCAGCTATTGTTAATTGCCTTCTATTTTAGATAATGCGTTTTAAATTATATTATTTTAAAACAATTTGGAATATACTTGATGTAGTTATTATCTTAATTTCATACATTTGTATTGCATTTAATATTTATCGTCAAGTTGAAGTCGGACAACTCCTTGATGAATTACTAAGAGATCAAAATACGTTTGCTGATTTTGCATTTCTCACTTATTGGCAAACACAATTCAATAACATCATTGCATTTACTGTTTTTCTTGCATGGATTAAAGTAAGCAACTATAGAAATTTTAAAACGTGTTAGCTACACAAAAAAAGAAACATCCGAAATCTACACACGATGATAGAAAATTGAAATTATATAAATACTGCGCATGTTGAAGCTTGACCGAATAGCATTCTTATCATTTCAAAAACATCTTTCTATTTAGATCTTCAAATATGTATCATTCAATAAAACGATGACACAATTATCTACAACATTATCGCGCTGTGCAAAAGATGTTCTTGGCTTTAGTGTTATGTTTATGATTGTATTTTTGGCCTATGCACAACTTGGCTATTTATTATTTGGTACAATGGTTGAGGATTACAAATCATTTGCAATATCGATGTAAGTTTAAAAGCGTTGAGAAAAAAACGTTTGATTTGATTTTTCTCGATGTTTTAGCTTTACACTATTTCGAATTATATTGGGAGATTTTGATTTCGAAGGTAAAACGAATTTTTTTTCTCAAGTGCTTTTATCTTGTTTTTTTCTTCTTCTTCTTCTTCTATCTTTTAAGCAATTTTGGAAGCACATCGTATTCTTGGTCCAATATTCTTTTTGACCTACGTCTTCTTTGTCTTTTTTGTATTATTGAATATGTTTTTGGCTATTATCAATGATACTTATTCCGAAGTTAAAAGTGATTTATCAACGCAAAAATCTGAATTTGAATTGGGCGATTATTTTAAAAGATCTTATGAAAAAATGCTTGAACGTCTCAATGTTAAACGAGATGTATGCTTTAAATTCGAATTCTGATTGATATTGTTTCTTTCTAATTTTTTAATAGCGTATTATTGATATACAAGATGCATTGAGAAGTGCTGATGTTAATAAAGATGGAGTCATTGAAGTGAGTGTTGATGTCGTTAATGAAGACAAAAACAAATAGAAAATCGATTTGAATTTAGTTTGATGAATGGCGTCGAGATTTAAAAGCTCGTGGTTATACCGATGTTGAAATTGAAAATGTTTTCTCACGTTATGATGTTGATGGCGATCGAGTACTTCGCGATAGTGAACAACTTCACTTCAAAGCTGATCTTGCTGCATTGGAAAATAATTTAGAAAAGGACATTAACAATTTGAAAAAAGAATCAATTGCGCCAAAGTAAAAAGCAATGCATCGTATCATTTTTAAATTAAAAAGTAAAAATTTGATTAATTTAGACAAGCGGACGGAAAAGGCGCAGGCGCAGGCGAAAGCGACAATGGAAATCGTGTAACTTATGATGAATTTGCAATTTTAGTACGACGTATTGATCGAATGGAATATTCAATTGGAAATATTGTTTCACGAGTAAAGATTTCATGTTTACGAGATAATCAAAAATAGCCGATTCTTGTTTTTCTTACAAATAGATTGATGATGTATTGACAAAATTGGAAGTATTAGAAAAGAGTAAAATCAAACGACGTGAAGCTTTAACAAGAATTTTAAATACTATTTCAGAAGTAAATTGAAATTTCGTGTTTAACAAAATAAAACTGCATTTTTTCTTGCTTTTAGGATGGTCATCTGACTAGAGACGATCGACATGAACGTTTAGAAAAAATGATTCGTAATGAACTTGAAGGAAACAGTTTAGAACGTCAAACACCAATACAAAGTTTACTGACAGATGCGCCTGATACACGATCAACTTCTTACTATCAAAGTCAAACGTCATTACGGCCAGGACAAGATGAAAAAGATCGATCAAGACCGTCGACGGGAAAGAAAAAAGATCAATATTAAATTGAAAAACAGAACATTCTTTTATTTTTGTGAATATTGTCTAGTATTTTCATGAATACTTTTTTCTCGTCAGACGTAAAACGTACATTTATTTATTTTAACCAATCAATACGCTTTTTGTTTAATTAATTGTTTACGCTATGTTTTCTTGAAATACATGATTTATCTTCGCGCGTGAGTTAAATTGTTTCGTACAATGGAAAAGAATCACTCCGACGCATCACTTGCTACCGTAGAAACAAATTCAAGCTTATCAACAGTTCAGTCAAATAGTGAGAGAAAGAAAATAAAAATTTTTGAAATCTTCTCTCAAGATCAATTTTTAGTTGAATCAAAAACGAAACACAATGAAGACAATAATAGTATAACAACACGAGAAATTCTTCTCTACGTTTTATGCCTTATTATTCTTTGTACAAGTATGTTGACAAAAGTGTTCGATATTTCCGATAGAATGTAAATAGAAGATTTTTTTCTTCAAAATCAATATTGGTTTTTTATTCCGACAATCTTTACATATAATTATATATTTAATAATCCAAACTATCTTCTTGCATTATTTATTAGCTTAAATATGTTTTTAAAGATATAGATTTAAAAAGAGAATAATTTCCGATCGCTTGTATTCATCTGGCAAGTCAAAAGAAAAGCGAAGCTCGCGATAGAAGGAAAGTTATCTGTAAGAGTTTCAAAGAAAGCCAATGTGTTGCTATTGACACGCTCCAATTTCAACCGGATGTTACTATTGCATCCGATTTTAGTTAGTAGAGTTTTTGAAATTGAATATCTCGAAAACAGTACGTTTCTTCAAAACCGAAACAATTAATGCTTTGTTTATCTATATATCAGTCAGTGTCGTTCGAACTAACAATGCGACATATTATTATACAAATATGCTGCGCGAAGCGTTTGTTACATCAAAAATAAACGGCAGAGATACATTCAATGATATTGCACAAAGCAATGGTGAAGATTTGTGGAAGGTCAATGTTCTATTAGAATATTCATCTGATCGAATCGAACATTTTTTCTAATTTTCATAGGCATTGAAAGGGCCTATTTGTTCACGCTTGTATAATATTCATATTACTCAATTTAATATAACAAAATCTGATTATGGTTATATATATAATGAAAATAAAATACTTGGTAATAGTCTAAAAGTTTTAGACAAGAAAACATTGGTATTTTATTTTAGGAGTAGCACGCTTAAGACAAGTTCGAGTAAAATTATGCCTTGAAATTTTATTGTTGATAGAAATTTTTATTGAAGGTTAAACCGAATTCTTGTGAACTTCATAAAGAATTTGCAAAACGAAATTATACGCAAGGTTGTTACGCATCATATACAACTCGTAACGAAGATAAAGCTTCATTTGGTGATAGTTCTTTAAATATCTTCACGTCGGATGCGTAAACTTTACTATTTACTCGTTTTAATGTTGATTTTAAATATATATTTACAGTTGGAATTATGTATCAGCTGAACGAACGAAAACAAGCTTACATTCAGGTGTTGTATCAAATTACGGGGGTGGTGGTTATGTACAATTGTTTACTCGAAAGTAATGAATGAATGATATGAAGATGAATTTGATATTTGAATATCTTTGGAATTGCTTAGTACCACTACAACAATGGATATTCTTGAAGAATTAGAACGCAATTCGTGGATCAATCGTGGTACACGAGCAATATTTTTTGATGTTATTGTTTATAATCCAAATATTAATTTATTTTGTCATATACGGTAAGATGAAATGAATGGTAAGATACTGACAGTATTTTATTTAGTCTTCTGGCAGAATACCCATCATCAGGTATACAGCTCTTTGTTTTGTTTTGATTATATGATTAAACTATTTCATGATGATGTAGGCGGCGTTATTCCTTCAACATCGATTCAAGCAGTTAAATTAATTCGAGTATGTTTGAATGTCTGATGATCGTGTAAAAAAGAGAAATCCATCCGTGAGATTATTATTACTGCGCTTAAGTAAAATTCAAAATATTTTGATATTCTAGTCATTTGTACAATATTTTTTCTCATATTTAGCTAATATCACAAACTCGTAAATACGATTTCGAGCATAACAGCTTAAGTTCTAAATGTAAAAAGGATATCATATTTTGATCGAAAGCAAATTTGACAAATATTAACTTTCAAATATTCAATGTACTAATCGATGCCAAGTGTTGTTTTGTTGATTCTGAACATGATACTTCTTTTCGTCAGTATCAAATTTATGACAGTCGAAATTTTAGCATAAAAACTCATATTAACAGTTACCCCGCCCCTGATCACGTGATGAATAAAATCACATGCGAAATTTCGATAAATATAGAGTCTGCCTCATGTTCTGAATGTATTCACGTATTTAGACCTGAGTTTTACAGAGAAAAAAATATTCTTCTAGGTACATCAACAAGTTGCATTCAACCATAAAAAAATAACGCCTTTAATGAAGCATACTCATATTTCTAATTACTGAGACCCTATTTACATAACAATTATGTAATTCAGCAGAAATAATTATCTTGAAAATAATGGAGTACGAAATGTCCTATTGAGAAGCTACTACTTCTATATGCACATTTTGAATTAAATCTTATGATTTTAGTATACATCATTGATGGATTATTTCACTCTGACTTTTGAAATAATATTTACTGTGATCGCTATTCTCCAATTAATTGAGTGTTCGATTGAAGTAACATCAATGTTAGAATTTACTTTGAAAAATAATATTTATCTATTCAGATTTTCAATAAAAAACTTTTATTTCTATTTAATCTATGGAATTCAATAGATCTTATTCTACTTATACTTTCATTTCTATGCATTCTATTTGAATTATTAAATTATTTATCAACAAGAAAATATCTTGGAGAATTATTAAAAATTGAAAATAATTATCCAAATTTCGATGAATTATTCGCGTCAAAACTCAATGCAGATTTTTATTTAGGTGTTACACTTGCAATAACGTGGCTCAAGATTTTTAAATATTTGAATATAAATAAAACAATGCTTTTACTCAATAAAACAATATCATCTTGCTTAAATGAAATATTTGCATTTACATCAGTGTTTTTAATTATTTTTCTTGCTTATACTCAATTCGGTTGGATTCTATTCGGACGACATTTAACTGAATGGAGATCATTCCGTACATCAATGTAAAGTGTTCAGGAAAGAAAAATTTTCTATTGACAGTTAAATTCTAATTTTAGCTTTACTCTATTTCGAATGATACTGGGAGATTTTGATCTCTACGCAATGATAAATGTTGGTGAAATAATTGGGCCATTATTTTTATTTTCATATATTTATTTCGTTTATTTCGTTTTATTGAATATGTTCTTAGCTATTATAAATGAAACATATTCAAGAATTGAATCAGATCCAACATTAGAAACATTAAAAATAAGAAAATTTTCATTGAATTTCTATCCATTCACACCGAGAAAAAAATCAATTGATTATGAAACGAACTTGAAAGTAAAATCTGAAAGAAACCCTATTCAAAAATAAGTCATTTTTGTTTGTTTTCTAAGACGCGTGGTTATACCGATGATGATATTAGAAAAATTGTTCATAAATATGATAAAAATAAAGATGGAACTTTAGATGAACAAGAACAAGAGACAATGAAACACGATTTAGCAAAAGGACAAATGAAAATCGATGAAAAGTAAAATATAAATTTATCTATCAGAAGTAGTAGCGGAAAGATTTTTCTTTCTAAAAGAGCATTCGATCGTATTAGAACAAAAAATTTTGTGATGCAGCTTAGCCACAATGACTTCAAATTGTGCAGAAAACGAGACCATGAGAATTGTTTGAATATTCATATAGAGATTTACGGCAGTGAAGTTTTGTTGTTTTAGATACTCTAATACATATTGACAAATAGACATGAGAGAAATGATATCGATCTAAAAGAATGTGTCATCTAGTATTATCATCAAATAGCTTTTAGTGAAAATGGTCAAATAGTGTATTTTTGTAGAGAAAAATTTTATTTCAATTTTCTTTAAGAGATTAAACCACCTCCGCTACTACTTTTGATTTATCTTAAGGCTATTATTGAAGAATACTACTTGTTTGTTGACGTTGTTTTTGTTCTTCTGTTTAGCAACGATGGAAACAAATCAGGTAGTTATAAAAATATTAACAATTGCTTTTATTGGGTGTTTAACCCTCAGCAACGGACGATTAATAGATGCATTTTTCGAGTATTAAATATGAAATTTTCAGGAAATAGATCGAGTTTGCAAAACAAAAAAAAACTCAGGACGGATATAACGACATTCATTTCGAATCAGATAAATCAATGGTAGCTTGACTATTTTTAAAACATGGAATTTTGAGTTTTGCTATTTGAAAAATATAATCATCCTTTTAAAAATGCCATTCAAAATTTTCGTCCTTGATGGGATATAAACACTTGCTGTATTCTGTTTTGACAATGGTTACCATGGTTCATATTTGCATTTGTTGGATAAAGTATCTAATACGTTATGCTTCTATTGAAAATCAAGAATCTACTAAATCTCGATAGTTCTAAAAATAAACCTTTCGATTTTATTTAATATTTAGATATTAATAAAAAACTTTCATATGATGAATATCTTGAACTTGATCAACATGTTGATCGATTAGAAAAAAAGACAATTTATTTTATCGATAAAATAGAAGAAGCTCTACTCAATCTTGATGCTCGTCACAAATCCACAATAAACTGACACTGTACAGCAAAAATACTGCTTAGTAACGACGTGATTGATAGCTCATAAATTCAAAATGAAAATGTCGTTCACCTTGTCTACATAATAGCATTCGCATGGACTATGTATTTTGATAAATGCGTACTTTATTACGTCGTTAGAAGGCGATAATAGTTATCTACCTGCATAAATATCACGTTCGTGGGTTACTCATTCTTTGAGTACTGTCGTTTGTTGCGTTCGTTCGTTTCTTTTGCTTTTTATTCTGCCTATTTCTATTCGATACTTATTGATTTTCACGTCATTCATTTGTCAAAACATGTTTCTTAACAACATGTCGGTGTATACAATTCCTTATATGCGTATGATATTTCTCGTAATTAGTTTAACTGTTTCCAAAGTCATTACTCTCATCACATATACATTATTTACCAAACATCAAGATATTCAAACCGTAAATGATTCAGCAAGTAATTCAAAGAGTTTATTTGTATCTATACGACTCAATCCGCTGACACAAATCGATGATTTTGATGGTAGCCAGCATCAATCAACGACATTACCGATTAATGATGATGAAGAACTAATTAAATCAGATATACCATCAATTGTGGCTTCAAATTTTTGTGAAAATGATACCATTGAATTACGTTTAGACCAAGATGCTGAATACGAAAATGAAAATACAAATTAATGCTCAATTTTTCAAGTCTTTCATTTCTTTCCTTGTTGCATCAATCTTAGGTACAATAAAAGCTATTAAAAGAAAAAAAATGCGTTCTTTTATTTTTGTAATTATTTAAATGATAAATTCAAGTTTTCTTCTTCTTTTTTTTTTTTAGAAATATGTTTAGTATTGCTTTAAGGCCTCACAGACGATAAAATGATCTCCAATTATTTTATCTTTGCTCTCTATTTTAATCCGCGGTCTGAAGAGAATAGAACAAAAATCCCTTACTAAATTTTAATCATCATAAAAATGATAGAATCTTTCAATATTTACTATTTATCTATTAATAAATTTCTTTTTTACGTTACTTTATCCTCGCTGTCAATAAAATTGTCTTTTGCTTTGTGTAGCTGCTAAAAATATTTTCGTATTAAACCATAATTGATTCATGCATTATTTTCTTTCTAGCTGGGTTCCCAATGTTTTTAAACGGGAAAGAGACCAAATAAACTCCTCTGATATCGTGATCCGAATAGCCGTCAGAGATACAGCTAAACTTTTCCAAAATAAAGTCGTCTTTGCTAATCTCTTTGCAATTGGTTATCCCGTTTCTTATCATTGTAATACTATCAGATACTATTCTTTGTATCCAGTACATTCATATTGTTTGTCACAATAAGATCAGTGTTATTATTGAAAATATTTATCTTTCAAGGTTTTTCTGTCTGATTATCGGAAATATGTGAAAATGAAATTATAATTTATATTTGTTCCTAATATCTATTTTCATGTATGACAAAATTACAAGTTAGATGTTTCTTTATTTTGATAAAAAGCAGTCACTACCCTCGTTCTCGTAAGTCGTATACACATAGTATTATACCTAAAGTTTAAAAAATACTTCAAATTTTACTGATTATTCGCAAACATCATAAAAGTACTTCGATAATTTGCATTGCATCCATAAAAAAAGAAAGAAAGAAAGAAAAATTCTAACTACGTTCCGATTGAAGGAATGCCATAGCCAATCAATGAATTTCGTTGAACCTTTACCATGAAAGATAAATACTTTCGGTACGATCGATTCACGTCATCAAGATGAAAAAACAAAGAAAAAAAAAGAATTTCTAACTATGATTGCTTGTAAAATTGAAACCTTGTCTTTTCTATCTAATCAAAATCTTTAAATATTTCAAATAGAGGTATAAGAATGGAACAATGGTATCTACTTGACAGAATTTATTACCATAAAAATCAATCAATCAAATCTCTTCATTTCTATCTCTACATATAGATAAAATTATATTTTAGATTGAAGATTTCTTTCATCTAGATTTTGTCACCGAATGTTGTTCTTTGTTTATTTTTGTCCAAATTGAAGCATAATCAATCATGTACGGAAAAAATAAAGGTGTTAATGCTCCATCTGATATGCATGCAAAAGAAAAGTAAAGATAGTTGATGCTTTTTCATTTTCTTTTTTCTATTCATTTTATTGTTTAGATTAAATTTGTATGTATATGAATATTTGTATCATATTGGTGCAGCAAAAGCTGCTCAGGGATTTTGCGCGGATGTAAGGCATCACTTGTTTTTATTCGAACGTACATTGAATTTTATCATATATCTATATAGATGAAATGGGAACCAAGTAAAATGTCACTTGGTGAAGCACCTGGATTTTTATTTAGCTGGTGGTGGTAAGAAACATAGATGGATGATTGTCTTTTGTATTTATCTTATCGTTGTAGTGTCTTCTGGGATCTATATAGTGCAGCACCAGAACGTCGAGAGCAACATCCACATTCAGAAGAAGCAAAAGCATTTCATGACTATGTAAATTTTACTTTGTTTATTTGATTTTGTAAATAAAAATATTTATTCCTATCCAGGGTTTTATCAATTCGAACTATGCTCCTAATGGCATTCCTCCTCAAGTATAAGTTCTGGTTTATATGTTTGATTATTCTTATTTTTGTTCTTTTAGCAAAATACAAATCCCAATGTTCCACAGCAAATGCCGATGAATGTCAACGAAGGAATGCATAATCCAAATGTACCCTTTTTTCCAGTAATAAATTATTTATTTAAAAAATATTTATTTCCTATTTTCATTCTGATAGCCACCTGGGCAGCCCATGATGAATCCAGTAGGCTTGAGAAAGTGTTTTTGTTTTTTGCGATGTAAACAATTTCTCTTTTTAGTATCCACGTTATCCTAATGCACCACCACCACCACCACCACGTCCACTTGTTCGTATGCCTTCTCAACCAGATTATTCAGTAAGAAAACGAAAACTCCTAGAAGAAATCATGTTATTTTCATATACATATATATGTAGGGTGGACCTAACGGTGGAGCTTTAATGCCACCACAAATGGACGGAGGTCGTAATGGTATGTATGAGCTTTTGTTTTTATTTGAAAGAAAAATAAAATTTTGACTATTTAGGTTTACGTATGACCTCACCGGGTACTCGACTACCACCAAACCCAATGGGTCACACAGGTCCTGGTGGACCACCGCCTCCTAATGCGTATCGACCTCAAGGCATGCCACCAGTAATGTCACCATCAATGAATCAAGGTGGACCAAGAATGTTTATGACCAATTCACCAGGAGTAAATACAATCAAAATTATATATACTCTTCATTATTTCATTTTTCTAGGTTGGTGGTTATTCATCATCCTCACCGGTTCCTTATGGTGTATGTATTTCAATAGATTTCTGCTACAAACATATCTTTTACATATGAACTTTTATTTAGACTCCATGCCAAACTGGACATGCTCCAACAACACCAATGATGCCAAGTCCTCAAGATTCAAATGGTGGAGAAATGCCGCCTTATGGTATGAGAAATATGTCTGGTGGAATGCCACCGGGACCCAATCCAATGGTAAATAAAACATGTCACCTATGCCAATATATATAAAGATATATCTATTGTCTTTTTTTTTAAAGTATCACGATCCACATCTGACGCACATGTCATCAATGCAACCTGACATGTCTCATCATGGTTCAATAAATGGTATTCAAATGATTAATTTTGCTTTCTTTTAACAAATCTATTTCTTAGGTGATTATGATCAACAAATGAAACAATCACCGGGTCAACAACAACAGCAGCAAACACAACCTCCACCATCGGACGTACCGAATTTTAATTATGGTGAAGATCAAGTAAATGATACAACTGCTATTTTGAAGTTGAAAGAATCCATGCAGGAAGAAGTGAAAAAATTTGATAAAACACCGAATAGTTCAAATAATGACGATTATAATCATTTCTCCGGTATTGGTTAATAATTACTGAACATTACTGAACATAAGATTATTTAAATATATATACATATAAAACATTCTGATAAGAAAAATCTCATTTTCCTTTACTTAGCTTGTGTTCTTGTTTTTTTTAGTGTGGATCAATTGAATGAGGAGATATTTTGTTCCCCCACCCCTGTTTGTTTTGTTTTTACCATGTAGAATACTTTTTTTGTATATGTCAGGGCGAAAAACAGTACAAAAAAGGAAATTTTTGAAAAAGAACATCATCGTTGAATCTTTTGTCTATATCTTCATTTTTTTTCGCTGACGTTTTTTTTTTATGTGTCGTTCATTGAACATTCCAAAAAAAACGAAGCTTTTCAAGGAAAATTATGTGCGATGAGTTTTCTAGAGAGAAAAAAATGAATAAAATTGAGTTTAGTCTTCTGTAGAAGAGAAAAGCACATCTTTCTTTTTTTCTTTTTTTGTGTATGTCTTGTTTGTATCATGTACATTTTTTTCTGTTCAATCATGCGTGTGTCTATAAGCGAATTTGTCTTATTATATCTATCCTTAAATATAAATATTTCAAGAAATGAATTGTCTATTATTATTTGATAATATGATTTGTTTTATAGAAAAGGTGAAGCTAGGATTTGTTTAATGAGATATTAATCCTTTATAGGTTAGAGAGAAGATTTCTTCCTATATACTTTCCTTAATGCCGAATACTGAGAATTTAAAAAAAAATACTTTTTCTTTATATTAACAAAAAACAAACACTAAAAAAACAGAATCCTCAAATGTTCCTATCTGCCCGAAGGAAACATTTCGCTCTCTCTGCATATATAGTGATAAATCATACTGTTCCTTTCTCTCGTGTTAGTTGAATAATCATATAGATAATCATCAATGAAGATAGAGTAAGACATATAATAATAGCAATTTTAAATATATAGGACAATGTTTTTGTTTTATTAAGTTCTTGTTGCAGATGTTTCGATGAGGAATATTCAAAAGCTGCGGCCGCCTTTTCAAGATCTCGTGTTTTTTCATTTAAAACAGTCAAATATTGTAAACGTTGAGTATGTAATGATGATAGACTATGTTCAATACCGTTTTGTACATCGACAGCACGTTGATTGAGTTTGGCAACTTGTTCGTTTAACGGTGGAGTCATTTGTTTATTTGTTGATAGTTGAGATTGATAAAGTTTAACACGTGAACGAGTAGGAAAAAATATTTGCTTTAGGCGATTTCTTTTTTGTGACCTTGAAAGACGTTTTAGGGATGTCGATTGTTCGCTAGATGAATTCGATAGATTATTTAGATAGAAAAAGATTTTTCCTGTTTTTCTATATTTATCTAGTTCTTTTTGATTTCTTGTTTTTAATCGTTCGATCATTACGAACTCGTTATTGAAGAAGAAGAATTGAAAAATACGGTTAAAGATTTAAGAAAATTAAAATTTTATTCTATCTGTTCATGGTTACTCAGACAACAATAAGAAATGAATTCCTTCTTTTTTCTTTTAAACTAATTCTTCTAGTTGAGCTGATCTTGAATTCGTTTTATTTCATTTAGATTATAAAAAGGACATGTTCGTTGATGTGCTAAAATATTTGGAATAAATGGTACACGATTAAGAACTGCTTGTTTCTCTTCGTAAACACGTGATTGTTCGTTTTGTTGAAATTCTTTGAATGCATCGATTTCGGGTAACGTAACAAATCGATCTCGTAAATAATTTTGTACACGATAAGATTTTTTTAAATCACGATTTTGTGATGATGACGTTTGATCGATTAAACATGAATAAATCGAGTCAAATCGATCGATATCATCACATATAGAATTCGGAGACATTGCAGCTCTCATCTAGAGCATATGGAGATGAATTTAAATTTAGTTGTTTCGTCGATATTTCACTCACACGTTGTTTTGGATTGAGTTTTGTTTTTTGTTTTTTTGTATAAACATCATAAATAAAAAGTGCTGTTATTGCATCGATTTCTTCGACTAGATAAGCTGGTTGCTCTGGTTCAGATGACTTTTGCGTTTGATTTCTTTCTTTAGATGATGAAACAAAACCCAATTTGATAAAACAATCATCATCGTCATCAGTAGGCAAATCACGTGCTGAATGAGATCTATCGATTTTAGTATCACCAGGATGCAGTTTATTTTTATCTCTCTCTGAATTATTGATATTCATAGGCAACGTAAAGTGATTGTTAGCAAATATGTTTTGTATCGGGTCCACAAGGACAATAAATAAGCAATTAAAATAATAATAAAAACAAATACTATGAGAATAATTGAGCGGGTTTTCTTTTAAAAATTACTTTGACCTGTCTCGGTTCTATTCTTTTTCTAAAATATTATTGTTGATCATACATTAAAGTTTTGTGGAACTCACATATATTTTCGAAGAAAATAGTGAGTGTAAGTTGAATTGTTAGGTTTTTGCGGCTCCCCTGTACACCCTCCTTCCAATCTCCATTACAGACATAAAATATAAAAAAACTAACACTTAGATGTACTAATTAGAAACGTTTTTGGTACAGGTCGATTGCCTATCTTCACCGCTACTCACATCAGTAATAAAAATCTAGTTTCACTAATTAGAAATCATTATAATTAGGATTTAATCTCTAATTAATCATCAAAATCTGTCGTTTTTATTATTATAGTCCATAGTTACGACAGTATCGTATATTTTTATTATTACAGACGTTAGCAACGAGTGTATGCTACCGCTACAGAAGCTAGCAACTAGTTGATGCTACTATTACACTCGTTACTTCTACCACTTACAATAAACAGATGAAGATTTTAATCTTTTTTTCTTACACAAATACCTTATTCCAGAGCTTGAATCCACTTTAGTGTATTTGCAATTAGCAACTTTTCCATCCACTGGGAAGCTTTTGTCAAATTTTCGTTTATGAAAAAATGTATCGATTTCTCAATGAAACCACTAAACACTTCAGCATACTGACATATTCTAAACAAAACGTTTTTTATACGTTCTCTCTAGTAATATTTCCTATTGATAGATCCAATAAATTTCAAATGTTAAAAAGGTTTTATTATCTTATTTTTGAGCGAAATATGATCTCACTACAATGCAAAATCAAAACTTCTATTTGATCAGTATCTAACTGACCGAAATATGTGAGCTCCACATTTTAGCCCTAACGGGGCTGCGCTGAAAAGCTTTTGCACATACTTTCATTAAAAACTAACATCAAATATTTCCTCTTTGTGCATTTATTTTATCAGTTCACATTCCATATAAGAACGCAAACATGTATTTTATGTTTAGTTTTATCTTTATTTCTCTTTCATTACGTCTATTGACGCAACTTGAGTAGACAGACAGAAAGAGAATACGCAATGAATAGCGTTAAATCATTTTTCTATTTCTAGGCAAATGGTATAAAAATCTAGCACGCATGGCTCTCGTAATTGTTTCACAAAGAGCCACCAACATACAATCACCAATCGATGCTTCACTACCCATGACATGTACTATAGAAAGTTCATATGTTGTCGATGGACATGGGGTAATGAAATATTTTCTTTTAATTGCTCTTTATTAATTAATATGATTTAGGAGTATTCTATTCGAGTTTCACGTCTATTGAATGATCCATCGGCTTCATGGCTGATAAGAAAACGCTTTCGAGAATTTGTTGATCTGAATAATGTTTTAAAAGAGTATGGCTTTAATTTTGGATTACCGAAGAAAAGAATTCTTGGTAATACTGATCACATATTTATGGCTGAAAGACAAAAAGGACTTCAAGTATGTTGTGAAAATCAATTTCGTTCGAAATAGCAATCATAAACTATTTAGACGTATCTCAATACACTCGTGCAACATGTAGAACTTTGTAATTCATTAATGGTTCATCGTTTCCTCAACCCCGATAATCATATTATTAATTATCCTGGTATGAGAGAAGAAAACTATTCTATTCTGTTTTTTTAATTAAATTAGTTTTCTTTTGCATTTAGAATCAGCATTACAATACGTATCTATGTTTATGCGTTCGATGAATAATATGTATCAAATTATTGAACCACTTTTTGATTTCGGTAGAATAAATCTATATGTGTCTAATCAATCTTTTATTGTTTTCTTTTTGAAGGATGGCGCTATGATAAAAGTTATTTTATTGGCTCAAAAGCTGGCTGTCCAAAAAATGAACGTTATCTATTTATATGGGTAAGAAATATTCATTTGCAAAATCAATCCATTCAACCTTTTCTTCTTAGTGTCATTATGGTTTGGATAAAGCACTTGGAGAAAAAGAAATTAAGAATTGCTTAAAATTATTTAAATCGATTTCCGTATGTATTTGTTCTTTGTTTGGAGAAGTTTGGTGCAATCACTTTTATTTTCTAGCACCCATTGATAGCTCCAATTGAAGAAGTTTACGCAAATGAACACGGTACATTGACAGTGTGCCGATTTTATGAACGAGGATCATTAAAAGATTATATCCGTCAGGTATTTTATTTGGCGCTTTGATGTAGAATATTCAATCCGACTTTAGCCATTTAAAGACAACTGATTTGAGTTCATCGAAAGTCATTCTAAGGATTGCATGGTACTCGTTATCAGCCACGATCTGTGAAACGAGCGAAAACTTGATGATTTTTATCATTCGTTGTTTTTCTTCTAAATCGTATTTGTAGACCAGGCCAGCTGATGGTTACTACTGGAAACGATATGGTCCAACGTCATCGATAAGACGATGTGATTTACATCAAATAAGAATCTTAGGCTGTCAGATTTTAGAAGCACTTTATTTTCTCTATGAAAACAATCTTGTTTATGGACATTTACATTCAGGAAATATTTTATTTGATTTTGAACAAACTCAATCAATAAAATTACTTGATATAACAAATGCGATTGCAGGTGTATCATCAAAATATCGTTGTTATTATTCGAATCTTAAATATATTCATGTAAGTAAACATATGAAGAAAAAATTCGGACTTGAATTTCAATTTTCTTTCTGTTTTTCGACTAGACTTTGGAACAATGTGATATCTATGCATTTGGACGTTTATTGTATGAATTATCAACCGGTGAAGAATGTCCAATAAGTTTATATACAGAATTTCCGTCTATAATTCCATATCCGGTTCAAGAGATACTTTCAAAAATTTTTATACCCTCCGGAACTTTGCCAACGTTACAACAGCTATTAAATGAACCGTAGTATTTCTGAGTTCTTTTCCGATTTTCTATTAAAAATCATTAATTTAGACTTTTTCAAATAACCTATTCAAGTGGTTTCGAACGATTTCAATTGAAATTAAATACTAAAGCGAAAGAAGCATTCGAAGAAATAATTCGAAAAGCTCGTGAACGATTAGAAAATGATCATATTAAAGTTAGTCTTTTCTCCATTCTGAAAAATAGATTATTTTCATTGTAACGAATTTAGATTAAATCAGCTCAACGTCATCTAAAAATTTCTAATCATCTCATGTCCGATGAAGAAAAACTTCGACGACGTCGAGAAAGACAAGTTGACAATCATTTAACAATTGAAATCTATTCATAATATTTTATTTTTCATTGTAGACTAAAGCATTGGAAAGAAAGTTCGACAATAGTTTTAATAGTAGAGATACGTCAAGTAAATTATTTGTTAAATGAAAGCATGACTCTTAACCTTTTCTTTTGCACAATTTGTCTAAATCACACTGAAAATAGGACATTTTCATTGTGGTAATGAAATGTTCTTAAATTCTTTTATGTCATTTTTCCAATGAACCTTAGTGTATTCATTAGAAAAGCTCCTTAAAAGATCTAATTCTTAAGTATAAATTTGAACGTTTTTTTTTTCAGGACATGCTGAATCAAAACAGCAGGCTCGAATAATATTATCTGACTAATATTTCGATTTGCTTTTATCATCAATTTTCTTTCCTTTAATTTCCTTGTAAATAATGTTTTTTAATTATTCAGCTTGGAATATTACTTAATATTCTGATGAAATTCTCGTTATTCATCAGCTAGCGTCCTTTTACCGCATATATTTTTTATTTTTTTCGTCATTCCATAAAATAGAAAATACAATTTCTATGTTTTTTTTCTCTATAGAAAGTCTTCAAAATTCTATTAACGTTGGCCCATTACAAACAGCCTCACCAAGTAAAGTTTTATCAGCAAACACTAGTGTTGATAATGCATCGGATGTTCCTCAAGCAGCACCGTCAACTTCACCTCCGCCAATAGTTGTCAATGATACTCGGGTGCAATTTTTAAACTCGATTGCAGATTTTAATCTGGCGAAATTAAAACAAACAAAAACCATCGATCGCAGTGCACCGAAACTCTAATAATAATAATAATAATAATACTTGATGTGAATATATGTGAAGAGTGTTCAGTCCATTAGACTACTCCTATTATTATTGATTTCATCTCGAGTTTCAATTTTATATAGGCGAAAACACATCCATCCTTTTCTGATCTGAAATTAAGACTAGATGGAAAAAATATGATAATCAGGGTATTCTACCTAATCGGACTCTTCAGATATATGTACATATAGTTTTTTTTTTAAATAAAAAACTATTGAATTAATATTCAATTTTGTTTTTGATAAAAAAGCCTATTCTGATAAATATTTTTGTTTAACCTAAAATAGTATGGCAGCTGGGTTTCATACATCGTCGTCGCAATTGCAGCATGATGAATGGATGACAAATCTGCCAGAAAGACTTCACGATGAACCTATTACGAAAATTGCTATACCGGGTAGAATCTCTAATACATCACAAATTTGATTATCATTTATACGATAGGTACACATGATTCATTTGCATATAATTTAACAAGACATGCTGGACCGGACTTATTGCCGAATTTAAGACGTGTTGCTCTGCTCATCTATCCGATTATTAAAAATTGGAGTATGACACAAGATAGAACTTTTACTGGTACTAAGATTTTATTTAGAAAATTGAATTTATTTAAAAAAAATAAATTTTGATTCAAATAGAACAACTTCATATGGGTATTCGTTATTTCGATTTACGCGTGTGTCGTACAACAGATAAAAGCTTACAATCCAGATCATTGTTTACATTTACTCATGGTTTATTAGGAAATTTAGTTAGCGACGGTTTAGAAGAAATCAATCGATATCTAAATAAACATCCGAAAGAAATTATTTTACTTGATTTTAATCACTTTTACGATTTTAATGATCAATGTGGTCATGATCAATTGATTCATCTTGTTCATGAAACATTCGGAAAGAAACTTTGTACGACAGCACGAACAATTACTGCGTGCACATTAAATTATCTATGGAATAATCAGCAACAAGTTATTTTACTTTATGAAAAACATGCTGATCAATGTACAGCTTATATGGATCGTATCGGACATTTTTTTCAAGTAAGAATAACTACGAAGATTTCGAATTTCGATTTTCATCTAATTCAAAATAGATTTGTCAATCGCCATGGCCGAATACACCACGAATCGATGAACTCTTTTTATTTCTTGATGAATTAGTATCAAAATCTCAACCAATCACTTGTGTTAATGTCATTCAAGGACAAATAACACCCGATGGAGGATCTATACAAAGTAGCCCATTCAGTTCACTTCATGCTATTGCCAAAGAAACAAATAGACGATTAATTGAATGGTTATCACATCGCAAACGTGATCCATCATTAATCGATGGTATTAATGTTGTTATCTGCGATTTTGCCGATCCACTATTCACGGATACTGTTATCATGTTAAATTATAAATGACTGTGTGATAAAAACATGCATCTTTTTTAAACCTATATTTACAAATAATTATTAATGACACTTTTGTTTTTTAAATAAATTTCACTAATAACATAAATGGAATGCTTCTAATCACTAGCATCTACTGTATGCATCTTTCTGTCGAAAGAAGATCGCTCGGTGCAGTACAGTCAGTCTTCTGTGATATTCTCAGAGACGATTTCACGTATTACTCAAATGTAACTTCTATGAATTATATGATGTCCGTAAACGAAGGATCGATCGAATTGAAATATTCTCATTTGAGGTTGCTATATGCATTGCCTATACATTTGAATGAATAGATTAGTTAACAACCGAATTTTCTTTATATCTTATCAATGTTGTCACAAAGAATTATTGAATTGTAAAATCTCGCTTTATCACACTTCAAACTGGGACTATCAAAGTTTATCATGTAGTAAATGATTCTTGAAAGTGTCAAGTATTTGATGTCTATTTGAAGAAAAATCGCATTCATTTGGTTATCAAGTATTACTATGATATTTACAGCTGCTATACATAATCACATTGTTAATCCAGTCTTCCAAATCATATCTTCTGATAGGTGATATTGTAGACATGGCAATAGCACGTCAGTATATAAGAGTACACCGGGTCGAGTAAATATCATTCGTATATATAAGCGTGAATAAATAATGTTTTTTATTCGTGTTATTATAGTTTAAGCGAAGAAAAGATCATTTTTTTTCTATACGCTTCTTCTCTTTTGTCAATAATAGCGTGTTGCGTTTCTCAGTTTTCACGTAGATTTTCATCAAATATCAAAGTTCACAGTCGTAAAAATCGTGTCTATAAACACGAAGAAAATGTACCAAACTGATAACAATAAAAAAAAATGATAACGATATTGAATGCATTTTTTGTTTTGTAGCTTTAGATAGTTTCAGTTGTTAAGAAAGGTGACATTTATTTGTGTTCTTTTAGCATGTACAAGATGAGCTCATTAATATTATTCTTGATTTTTATTTTCAATAAGTTGAAATCATGCTAAAGAAACTATCTATATATGTTCATTCTCTTATTCTTTACATGTACGTTAATTACTTTAGTTGTTGCTTGCCTTTCGTTCTAGCAGGCATTTTCCCTTGTGTGTTCTTTCAGTTTTCAATGCGATGCGAAGCAGAAGCATTTCTGTAGTCCGTCGCGAGTTTTTTTTTTTCCTTTTTACTTAAGATCGTACGCATCTTTTCTGTCGTTTTGTGACTCGATGATCTCGACAACAAAAATGATAAAAACCTCGTTTAAACGCAAGATAGAAGTATTGAGATCGAACTGCTTACACCTGTTTTCGAATCTTTAATCTGACGTTCCGTTCGCTCAGCAATTTAGTTCCAAAATGACGAAAATGAAAGAAATTTATCAAGAGATAATTAAAGTGACGTCATGAACATATGTTAGCCACTATAGTCTATTCATTTACAGCTGAT